TTTTTTTTTTTTTTTTTTTTTTTTTCCATTTCAGATGGAAAATGTCCTGGAGTTGTTCTTATTAACAGGCTTTTCAGGATCATGGCGAGATTCTATGAAAACTGAAGCTCAAGGATATATATTTTAGCACAAATTCCTGTAAATAGTTAAGTTGTTTGAAATGGCATGTTTGTGGAATAGATATGGAGAAAAGATAATGCAGTTTAATGACTTAATATTGATCCAGGGAACTGAGAGCTAAAAATGAAGACTGTTTTATAGTAGGTAGAATGTGCTTTTCTTTTAAATGTTTAGGGTGTTTATAATGAAAATACATAACCTGCACTGGAAAATAAGCTAATGCATATAAGTGAAAAAAATGTTAACATCACCCAAAGCATGACCATTATTTATGCCATGATTGTTCAGAATCTTTCTCTCTATGTGCATGGGCCTTATGTGTTCACATATTTTACATAGGTGACATAATATTATACATACGTAGTTTTTAATCTGCTTTTGAAATTCAAAAGCAAGAAGTGAGACTGCTCCTTCCACACAAATGAGTGTGTATAAGAGTGTCACACCCCGACTCACACGACATGCAGAAAGCTGTGTTTATAACTGAATAGAATTGTCCAGTGTGAATTTATCATATTTTACCGAACCAATATTCTGTTGTTGCTTGTTTAGGCCACTACCATTTTTTTTTTTAGGAACGATGTTAGAAAAAATGTGTTTTTATATATGCACAATTTCATTCTAAAACTAAATGCTTCCGTGAATTTCCAGAGAAATTTCCTGTTTACATTTCTAAAGGTTTGCTATGTATTCCTGTATTGACTTATATTAAGTTTCCACGAACTTTCTGAGTTTTTTCTATGTTCCAGTCATGGATAAGCCTGGATATTCACAATTTTGTTTTGTCATTTACAATATAATAGATGTGATATTATCTGATTATGGCTTTTAACTGCAGCCTACTTGATCACAAAGTAAGATTGAACATCTTTCTAATCTTTTTATTTTTCTCTTTGAAAGTTTGTTAAAAAAACAAAACAAAACTATCTTTTTACATTTTTGCATTCACTTCTCAGAAACATGTAGTAGTGCAAGCTAATGATGCTATATAAAAAGCCCATCCACTGTCTGGAATGTCTGCAGTTTTACCATGTCCAGTATTAAAATGTTTTGACTTTGGAAAGAAATGCATGTAATACTAAGTAGCAAGATTTCTAATTCTCAGATGAGAAACAAAATTTTTAAATAAGGAGGAGATCATCACCTCTTTCTAATATTACTGACCATTCATCAGCAGTCCTAGGCTTTGGAAGCCGGGATTTGTGTGGGAATTTACAAATCCTATTTTATTCAGCTTTGGAGATTGAACCCAGGTGTACTCTGTGAACGAGCAAAGTCCCTGATGCTTTACATTTTTTTTTTAAATTTTGAGATGGATTCTTCCTAAACTGCACAAACTGACCCAGAACATACCAGGAAACTGCCTCCATCCCCTGAGTAGATTCAGAGAGCCCTTGGATAGTAAACAGTAACATTTTTCTAGAAAACACTTTTTCCAAGTTGCTATTTATATTACACCTTGTCCATAGTAGAAATTTTAATATGTGTAACGTAGTCATAAATCTTTCCTTTATGACTTATTCTTGTCTCGCGTGTTTTTAGAAAAAACCTTCCCCAAGTAAGATGTTTGGCTATACTTAATTCCACCAGTGTAATAATGTGATTTTATTTACAGCTTAACATGATTCAGAAGTATTTTTGAAGCATCAGTTTTATCACAGATGTTATTGTAAAAAATAGTGATCAAGATATGCCCATTTATGGCGCCATGATTCTAACTGTTTAAAGCCAATCGCTAACTAGAATACTTAGCAGCAGACATCATGACTTTAATCTCCAGAGTTCCGAGTCTAAGCATATGTTATGAATTCAAGTGCATGTTGGATAAATGAATAATTTGGATGCTAACTGCATTCTTTCTTGACAAAAATCAAGTCCTAGTCTAGCTCCATACACAAAGTCCAAGCCAAGTGTCTGTTTAATTTGTAGGAATTCTTTGTATGGGATATGTGAAATACAAATGGCCAACATGTATATGGAAAGATACCCAATGTCATTATTTGTCAAAGGAACACCAATTTGAACCATAGGGTGATATCACCTCACACCTCTCCATGTGGCTGATAAGACGAGAGAGAGAGAGAGAGAGAGAGAGAGAGAGAGAGAGAGAGAGAGAGAGAGAGAGAGGAGAAGACAGAGGAAGAGAGATAGTATAACCCATGCGGATGAGAATGTGGAGAAACTGGAAAACATTAGCACTGCTGATATGAACTCTAAAGTGGCACAGTCACTGTAAAGCAGTATAGAAGTTCCTCAAACTTTTAACTATAGAATACTAGCGATTCAAGACTCATTGATGCCAGAGAAATCAGAATCGAGATTCTAGCACTCCTGTCTTCACTGTGGCGTTATTTACAGTAAGAAGATGTGAAAATAACCCAAATGCCCACCGACAGACAAACTGATCAAGAAAACAGATGCAATGGGAAATTATTTAGGGATAAAAGGGATTTCTACAGTATGCAACAACGTAAATGAAACTTGGGACCCGAGGCCCGGTGGAATGTGGCAGTCACAGACGGAGAGGTGCTGTGTGATTCAGCTTATGTGAAAGTGTCTGAAAGAGTCAAACTCCTAGAATCAAAAAGTGAACAAAAAGAATGACCATTCACAATGTGAAATAGTAAGAAAAGGGCTAAAGGTGAAGGGAAAGTGGGAAGGGTAGGGGAAAGGGAACAAGAGAAAAGAAAAAATATGAGAAAATGAAAAAATGGAAATAAAGTGTTTGTAAATAGGGAGGGGAGGAAGGGGTGAAGGGAGGGCAGGGACAAGGGGAAAAAATGAGAACCAAGACCTGTCATGTAAAGGTACAAGATCCCCATAATGAATGTAACTGTGCTGAATACCTAGAATGTACCAATAAGCTCAATTAAAAAAAAAAAAAGAATGACCATTCAGGTGATAAGCATACTTGCATAGGAAAGAGCAGCTAAAAAAGCACAATGATTTTTTTTTTAAGAAAAGATATAGTTAGGATTGTAAGATATACATGTAGGATCCATCATTCTTTTTAACTTATTTCTAGGTTAGAGGGAGAGTCGAGGGAGCTCTAAAAGTTGAATCTTTCATAGATACTAACATAATTTGATTTTTGTCTGAGTATTCTAACCCTAGGCATGTGCTCCAAAAGAGAGGATAGGTGTTGTATATACAAAGGACATAGCATACATATATACTATATATATGGTATATACAGTTCTACTTGCAGGAGAGAAAATGAGCATTTCAAATGCTCATCCATGGAAGAATAAATGAAACTGTGGTTTATTCAAACAAGTTTTCTTCATATCAGTGAAAATAATGAACTTGTGCTGCACACAGGAGCAAAGCTGAAACACCTTTGCCAATAATGAAGCACGATACGAAACCTTTCAGTTATATGATGCTATTTGTGTAAACTTTGCAGTTAGGCAATGGTAGCGGATGACCTTACTCCTTCTGAGAAGAGTCAGAGGAAAAAGTCCTGCAGTCCTAGTCGTGTTCTCTGTATTTTATGTTGTTGGTGATACCTACGTGTGTTCATTTCATGACAATTCTAACGGTACTCCTGCGTTTTATGTACCTTTCTGTATGCTATTTCTCAATTAAAAGTTTACAGTGTACACACAATGTGTAGGAAGTTGTGTGTGCATGTATGAAGGCAGGAGAGGCAGAGGGAGGGAAAGAAAGAGGGGGCGGAGTTAAGGGGAGGGAGGGAGAGTTTGTGCGGAGAAATAGCTCTTGTATTTCCCTTAAAACTATTTCATAAAAAATATTTCTTTACATTTGGGGAAAATAGTTCTTTGACTTAAATCATTTCAGTCAAGGCATGTGCAAAAACTTCAGTCTTTTAGTAAAATGTTAAGGTTAAGTACAGCATCAAATAAGTTGAGGTCTGGGGATTTAGCTCAGTGGTTCCATGCTGCCTCACAAGCTCAAGGACCCGAGTTTGATCCCTGCTACCAAAAAATAATAATAGTAACAATTATTATTTGAATGATGAAATGGTATAATGTGCCTGAAAACAATTCCTGCTTGATCTACTGTGTAAATGTCGTGTAGAAATTCCTGGAATGTTGCTATGCAACATTAAGCCAACATTAATAATGGGTAGCTTCATCATCTGTGGCAGAACAGCTCCCTAAAACACCGGGGCCCCTTTGCCGCCAGAACAGTTGAAGAAAGAGGTGGGAGAAAACCAGTTTCTCATTGACGTTTCTCTGCATCTCTTGATCATGTGTATTTTCATGCATCTCTTCACCTGTAGTCACGTTGTTTTTGGAGTTTTGGAAACAGCGACAAGCCAGACTGGGGTACGAGTGGGATCTGGTGGACTTTGAGGAGGAGCAGCAGCAGCACCAGCTGAGACCCGAGTTCGAAGCCATGTGCAAGCACAGGAAAATGAATGCAGTGACAAAGGTACTGTGTGATCGGGAAATGGGCCAGCGTTCTGCTGTAGGTCCCTTCTCAAATAATGATGTCTACTTTATTTGCCTTTAAAATATTATTCCCCAACATGTGAACTATTCAAATACCCGTGCTTGTTTCTCATATATGCATATAGTCTTGTATGTATACATATGAAAAGTTTCAAACAGAAAGAATAGGAAGAAAAGTATAATAAACATCATAGACAACTCATCTTCATTCTTTTTGCGGCGTACTGGAGATGGAACTTGGGACTGTGCACTTGTGAGTCAGGAGGAGGAATCACTGAACTAAATCCTGGCCCATCTTCATTTATTTTTATTTCATGTACAGTCTTTGGCATTGACATCTCACAACTTCCTGTCACTAGATATGTTTAAAGCAAACATGAAGGGCCGGGGATTTAGCTTAGCAGTTCGGTGGCCTTCCTTGCAAGCGCAAGGACCAGAGTTCAATCCCCTTTACCAAAAAAAAAGCAAACATGAGGCCTGAGAATATCAAATACGTAGCTTTAATACTATGTGAGAACAAGGAAAACAGTGTGTATGCTGTGGTCTGCTCTGTCTATAAATACATAGGCATGGAAATCTTGCTAATTTGATATGAAAAATAAAGTAGTTGTAGTAAGTAGGTTTACGAATGAATTGTTTTTGAGACAAAATTTTGTTCGTGTTCCTTTCTGTCGAACAATCTGTCAGTGGGGCAATCAGTGGGAAGATAATTGGATTGGTGGCTTTGGAAAACTGTTTGAGATCTAGTCTCACTTTTTCTTCTGATTTGTTTTTTCTTTCTTTCTTCTGGGGATTAAACTCAGGACCTTTGTACTGAGCTACATCCTCAGCCATTTTAAATTATTTTTCTTGAGGTAGGGTCTCACTAAGATTCAGTAATCCTTCACGAGCAAAATAACTTTGTACTCTCGACCGAGTCATTTAACTTCTTGATGCCTGAATTTTCTCATGTGAAAGCAAGGTGCTTTGCCTTCAAAGACCGGGCCCTAGCTATACATTCTCATAATCTCTATTCTTCTATAAACAGGAATCTCTGTGTCACCTGCTCCTACCAAAAAGAGGTCAGAAATGAGCCTGGTGGCAAGCACTTGCAATCCCAGCATTCTGGGAGGCAGAAGCAGGAGGATTGCAAGACGTAGCCCAGCCTGACCAACTTAGCCAATAAGCGAGATCCTGTTTTAAAAGTATTATAAAAACGTACCCACCCTCCAAGATGACTGTAAACTGTATGTGCTCTGCTAATACAAATTAAATTAAAATAAACATTTAAAAACTGCTGAGAACCTAGCTTGGTGAAAAGGCCCTAAGTTAAATCTCCAGACCAGGGAAAAAAAAAAAAAAACTATGTCCCAAATACAAGCATTTCTTTTTTCAAAATACTATTCTTGCAATTGACCCAATTATTTTTACAATTTATGCATTCACCAAATATTTCAATTTCCCTTTACTGCAAAAAGAATGGCTATCATTAAGAAATGAAATAATAACAAGTGTTGGCGAGGCTGCAGGGGAGTGGAGCCCTTCTCCATTATGGTGGGAATGTAAACTAGACTAGGACAGGAAATCATGGAAATCAGCATGCAGATTTCTCAAAACATGCACCACTCACTTACAATGAATGCAGTCATTACCTGTTGTAAACACGTACTTATAAAAGAAAACATGAAAATAAACCTTAAAAAAGCGAAATGACAAATTTCACTTGACCTAATTCCCTTCTGGTGGCCTTCACAAAAGAGTGGAGGATCATATTACAGGGATATGCACACTGCTGTTCACAGCTGTGCACCCCCCAAAAAACCACACCAGAGGAATGGGTGAAGGAGAGGTGCTGTTTATACACAGTGGGGTACCCCTCAGCCATAAAGAATAAAAGAATCATTTGGAGGAAAATGCATTTGCCTTGAGACCTTAATGTTAAATGAAATAAACATACAAGCTCAAATATTATCTTGCATGAGATAACCAAAATATAAATAAAATTAAAAAGCAAAACATAACAAATGCTGGCTGGGTTGTGGGGAGAAAGGAACCCTTCTTCATTGTTTGTGGGAGTGCAGACTGGTGCAGCCACTGTGGAAATCAATAAGGAGATACCTCAAAGAACTAGGATTAGAGGTTCCATTTGACCCAGCCATCCCTCTGCTGGGTATCTTTCCAAAAGAATTAAAAGAATCATACCACAGTGATATATGCACACCAAAGTTTATAGCAGCACAGTTTGTAATAGCTAAAACTTGGAAATAGCCAAATTGCCCATCAAATGGAGACTGGATAAAAAAAGTTTTGTGTGTGTGTGTGTGTGTGTGTGTGTGTCTGTGTGTGTGTGTGTGTGCTTAATAAAATGGAGTACTATTCAGCCATAAAGAATGAGAAACTAGAATCACTTATAGCTAAGTTGTTGCACACTGAGGTCGTACTCTTAAGTGAAATTAATAAGTCACGCATGTAAATAGCAAATAGTTTCTCCAGTGTGAAAAAATAAAAGTGTTAATAAGGATCAAAATGTATAATTGATATTGTGAAACAGGAAGAAGAGTATAAAACAGTAGAGGAAGTGGGAGGGGTAGGGGAAAGATAAAAAGGGAAAAGAAAAAGTATGTGAAAAGGAAAAACATGGAAAGATGCCTTTGTAAACAGGGAAGGGTGGAGGAGGTGAAGGGAGGGCTTGGGACTGAGAAAAAAATAAGAACAAAGTTAAGTCATGTAAGAGTACAAGATCCCAGTGATGAATGTAATTGCATTGTATACCTAAAATGTACCAAAAACTTAATAAAGATAAAAATGTTTTTAAAAAGCAAAATATAAAATAGTAGGAAAAGAGGAAATAGATGTTTTGCATATGGGAAGGAAGCCGAGAGATGAGTGGAGATGGGAGGGAGGGAAGGGATGAAGAGAATGAGTTGAAATGCGCCCTCTGAGGGTATCCACTACCCACAGTGCATGCATGGCAAACACATACCAATAGACATTTTAAAAATGAAAAAATAAATTTCATTGGAAGATCACAAGAAAATCAATAAGTGAATAAAGGGGGAAAAGCCTCAGAAGATACATCCATAATTAGTTTGAAATTACAAAAAAGGTATTGACAGAATACACGCGTGCACGCACACACACACACACACACGCACAAAGAAAGAAAGTGGAAGCAAGCTTCTTGCCTTTACCGAAAATTTAACATGGGAAAAGGCATATTACATGTTTTTACTTGGAAGTAATTGAAAAGCAGTAAGTATCGGTTTGCTGTGGTTCATTCAAGTTCTCTTGAATCAGGTTTGTAGATTTTGAAATCAAGAGGCAGAGTTGTTGTTTTTTTCCAGGATTTTTTGGTGTGTAAGGAAACACACCAGTGCTCTCTGTTCCGAGTATTGCAAGCATCCTCATGCTCATGCAATTATGCACACACACACACTAATGGCCGTGCACACTGCATGCATTTGCGCGAACTGTTGTACAAGCCACGCCAACGCACGCATGCACACACTGTGATGTTCTGTGGACCTCCGGACTTTGCCTCCAGTCTGCACTGAAGTCTCCTAAAATGTGCAACCTTATACTTGGTAGAATTGCATGGTTTAGATTTCTCTGGCGAAGTTTTTTTTGTTTTTTGTTTTTTTTTTGCTACGAGGCAGTCACACCCTTCGATGTAGGGAAGAATGTTAGCCAACCTGAAACTAATGTCTTCCATGAACGACGCTAACGCCAGAAGGTAGAGGCATCTGATCTGCTGCTTGTTATGCAGAGAGCACAGAAAAATATGAGAAAATGAAGAAAGGGAAATGCGGTGTTTGTAAAGGGGGAGGGGAGGAGGGAAGGGAGGGCAGGGACAAGGGGAAAAAATGAGAACCGAGACCAGGCATGTAAAGGTACAAGATCCCGATAATGAATGTGACTGTACTGTATACCTAGAATGTACCTATAAACTCAACGAGGAAAAAAAAAGATTGTATAATTTTAAAAATGCAAGGGACACACCTCAATTTAATATATGAGGAGCAGTGGCATTTATCTCAAGGCAATGTGATTAAAACTGCCGGTTTATTAAATCATGTCTGCTTTAGCAGCAACGGTGAGGCTCGACCTTGTCCCCTACCCGTGAGGCCGGGGACCCTCTCCTCAGCACTTGAGGTAAAAGCATCCCTGTCTCAGCATGGGTGAGACCCCCATCTAGGGGCCTATAGCCCCTACTTCCAGGGGAGAAACCGGTTCTAGAATGTAAACATCCCTGTGCTGTGGAGGGAGCCTTTGTGTCATGTTTCGGGGCTCTCCGTGCTATGCTTTGCTCTGCCGCTGGTGGGTATGGACTTTGAGGGCATATGCTGAATATTTCTGTGATTTCTTTGCCGTCGTAGGAGATGGAACCTCACATGCCGCTCTTTCGTCATATTCCATGGTACTTCCTATCCGGAGCCACGGTGACACTGTGGGTGAGAATTTCTTTAAAAAATATCACTGGGCTGGGGATGCAGCTCAGGGTCACCGCGCCTGCGTGGCAAACTCAAGGCCCTGAGTTTGAGCGCTGGTACCGGAAAAAAAATTAAAAGTAGTATCATCTCTGTGAAGACAGGAAATCCACCCTGCAGGCTGATGTGGAATTTCCTGTGCATTGCGTCTGGGACTCTCCTCCTCCTCCTTGCTGGTCTTTTTATCTTGTTACACTCTCATGGCAAAAACAAAACAAAACGAAACCTGAATTGCATGGATTTTCTATAGTTTAACATTGGGGAATTATCTAGAGGAACAGAGAGATTATCTTACAGCCTGTCCCTCCTTATCTCGTAACATTGTGCTAATTAAGCGATAACTGGAAACCCGACCAGAATAACAAACTTACTTTGATTGCAGGCTCTGGTTAGGTTATCACGAATTTATCTTTATCCCCATCTATTTAAAATATCTGCATAAGTGAATAAGCAGCTCATACTGTTAAATTTCATCCTCTTGCTGCAATAAGCAGTAAATGTGTCTTCTTCCATTTGAATTATTTAATTAACATCATTGATCGTGATGGGGTCGATTTTTTTCCAGGTCTTTTTCCTAAATAGATTTCTGTATTGCCATAATCTATTCCCTTTCCAAATTTGTGCATCTGACCTATAATTCTGAGAAAGAAACTGTGGCCTGAGGAATGATTGCGTGGAAGTAGATTATAGATTAATTTTTTTTTTTTTTTTTTTTTTTT